AAGCTTGCGCTGATGCTTTGGCGTTGGCTGCGTCAGGAAGTCCTCAAATTTCATTGTGTATTTGGGTTTGAGAAGAACATATAGAACAATATAGCTGAAAACTGAACAGAGTTCTAAAAGGGTTCTTATTTAAATGAAAGGAGGATAGAGAGAAGGGTGTGATCGTGGGTGCCATTAAAGATGAGTTGACTAAAGATTTTCGGTTTGAGAAAATGGGTTTTCTGACATTAATTAGTATAAAGATAGGCAATCTCGTGTGTCTTTTGGATTTCATTAATATGAAAGGTGGGTGTGGTGAAGAACGTGAAGAACACGAAGAACATCAAGAACATGAATACAGATACAACAGCAAAACCTTTTCTGTCTTCAAATTTGACAGCGGAGAACTCAATTTTGGTTTGATTCACACATAGGTTTTATGTCAGAATTAAACAAATATTTTAGAGTTTTAATGCAAAACATATCATATTATGATAATATTTTAGTTATTTTATATTTTCCAATAAGAATTTTAAATTAAATTAGTCTCTATTTGTATTCTTTTTATAAATGGTGAAAATATATTTATATACTATCTTGTTTCACAAAAAATTTATTATCATTGAAACATTACTAATATATCGTGAAAAATCTATTCGCCGTCTGTGGGGATCGAACCCACGACCACGTGGTTAAAAGCCACGCGCTCTACCACTGAGCTAAGACGGCTTGGTTTGATATAAAACTTGTTATTTTAATCAAATTCTAAAATTTTGGGGGAGAATTTAAATTTATTTTAATAAAATGAGAAAATAAAAATAATCGACCGCCGTCTGTGGGGATCGAACCCACGACCACGTGGTTAAAAGCCACGCGCTCTACCACTGAGCTAAGACGGCTTCGATATAAAAAAAGTAATTAAGAGTGTTTTTTTATTATGAAAAATAGATACTCAAAATTAAATGAAAATATTTGATCAAACCCACGTACAAGAAAATTTTCTAATAGGTTTTCAACCATATCATTTCTTGGGTTAAGTAAATTATAAGTTTTTATTTTCTTTTGTTTTTATTTATTTAATAAATTATTAAATTTGTAATTTAATGTTTATTGAATAAAATATTTTTTTATTGTAGGATGTCATGGTTTTAGGAGCAACTCAAATTCTATTTCTATTTTCGGTCTAGCATTGTGGTTTCATTGGACCTTAGGTAGACTCTTCTTCGCCAACCAAACACAAACTACTTGTATGTGCATGTTGGTCTATGCATGTTATTTCATTGCGACTCTAGTCAACTTCTCTTTACTCTAGAGTAAGACATGCTTATTAAGAATCGACCCATCAATTAACTTTTATTGTCGGGACACTGCAACTCTCGTGTATATGACAGTCATATATGGAGGCCTAATAAAATACAAACTAAAATTTTTAAAAGTAATATATTGAAACGCCGTCTTAGCTCAGTGGTAGAGCGCGTGGGGATCGAACCCACGACCACGTGGTCGTGGGTTCAGCGCCGTCAAGTGTTTAATAACATTAATATTTTGTTTTACACTTAATTTTTAAGCATTTATCGTTTAAACAACTGGGATTAAAAATACACATTTTTAGCTTTTTTTACTTTTTACTTTTCACTATAGTTTTAATCCACTCCAAACTTACTTTTACACAATAATTTTGAATGAAGAGGGTATGCAACCATAAAAGTGGTTAAATGCCTCTCGAAAATAAACATCAAAATAATAATCACAATAATACTAATACTACTAGTATTAAACAAAATAATAATAATAATAATAATAATAATAATAATAATAAAATGGGTCTAAGATTAATATTATAAATTTATGTTTTTGAATGAGGAATTTTACAGTAGAAATAATGAAGATGCAGAAGCCAAGCAAAAAAAAGATCCCCCCTTGCAGGCTACAGGTATCACAGTGGAGCTGATGAAGCCACACCTTAGTACTCACTCTCCTGCCATCCTCCCACTTCCTCTCCATCATATTGGGTCTCCTGTGAACCATGTAACCAACTTTATCAACTAAAGTTCATCTCATTTTGACCCTTTTTTTTTTTTTTTTTTTTTTT